AAGGGTAGTTTGGGTGTTAACAAAAACAGAAATAATTAGTTTAAGTGGGCTGACAAATAGGGTGCTAAATTAGGATTAAACTAATGTATTAGTGGGGACAAAACATAAGAGCATGGGAGTTTAATACTTGAATGAACCCATGACTCTTGAATAGGGCAATAGGCCAGGCGTGGGGAACAAAATGACTTGCATCAAGAAGATGCTTAGGCATGGGAAATGAAGGGGATGGGCAGTCACTGAGGCTGTGAAGTTCTAGGCAGCCCTTAAGGTTTCTCATTCAGTTATAAATAGAGTTGTTTTTAGTGAAGAAGGGGGCTGGACATTTTTAGTCTTCAGAAAAAGAAAGAAACAAAAGAAATTTTCAGAATATTGTAACCAAACATTGTCTGAAAACTGCTTAGGAGTTCAAGTTGGCCAAGCTGTCTTTACTAATTGTTTGTGGGTTATTTGCCGAGCTGTTTGTGTTTGTCGAACTGCTTGGTGCTGTTATATTGAGTACTCTGGCTTTCTGGTTGTTTCATCATTCTGTTTCTGAGACTGCTTGTTTGTTGCTCGACCACTGGTGAACTTCATCATTGTGGCTAGTTGTTTGTTGCTGGGTTGTTGTTGTTTATCTGCTGCTGCTGTGTTTGCTGTGTACTACTTAGCTGATCATTTTCCTTCTACTTTTGTCTTCCCAACCAGGTACACAATTAATACTGTCAATGTAACTTGAAGTTGAGCATGAATGCAAAGAGAAGAGTTGAAGATGTTATTTTACACATAGTCTGTTACATTAAATATCATGCAATGTATAATGGTTTACGTTTTTTTTGCCTGGATACTGGAATTAGCCTTCCCACACAGTGAATGTAAATGTGGGGGTAATTTAATGTCATATTGTGTGTATAGGCTGATAGATAACATGATTGACAATGTAGTAGGCTATGTTTTGATAGTTAGCTATGTTTGTGATTAGCATGTCCTTTAATGCATGTCAAAATGTGAAACTATCCATTGTTAGTTAATTTTTTCCCTTTTAATAGTCTGCCCCGTTACAACGAACAAACCCCATCTTCAGAACAAAGAACACAAAGTTACAGTCTCAACCTCACGAAGGTCGGGCCCAAGCCGAAACGCTAAGTAGGCTTTCATCGGAAAAGTCGTGGCCCAAGCTTGGCCTATCCTGCATGAGCGGGGTTCGGGCCCATAATGTTCGATTAACTGCCCATGTGCGTGACCATGTTTTCTTATTCTGCAAAGGTCTTCGGAATTCCGTTATAAATAACCTGCAAGCATAATTGAGTAGGATCATTTGATTTTCAATTAGTAGAGACAAATGTGACAAGAAAACATAGCCGCTATAGGGTATCCTTTTAAAATAAAAAATGAGACGAGCCTCGCTAAATAAATCACACATCGCCGGGGCCCTCAATAAAATACATAACCATTGACTAGACTTTGGATTCGGCCGTTTAATGAACGTTCACGGCCTCTTCCTAAAATAACAATACGTTAGTCTCTTTAGGACGCGCCTT